GTGTGCTGACATCTGGATGTCCGACGTTTGTAAATGTTCATAGTTGTGTCAATATTCTGAAATCTGGGTGTCTGACGTTTGTAAATGTTCAAAGTTGTGTCAATGTTCTGAAATCTGGGTGTCTGACGTTTGTTAATGTTCCTAGTTGTGTCAATTATCTGATATCTGGATGTCCGACGTTTGTAAATGTTTATAGTTGTGTCAATGTTCTGAAATCTGGGTGTCTGACGTTTGATTAATTTCTTAGTTATGTATCTGTACTTACTATCTATTTATGTCTCATCGTGCTGCCATCTCGACGTCTGTCGTCTGTTTATGTTTTAGATGTGTCACTGTACTGGCATCTTTTTATATTCCTAGTTGTGTCATTGTACTGATATCTGTTTATCTTCTTTTAAAATATGTCACTGTATAGACATTGGATGTTTGACGTCTGTTTATGTTCATATAAAAATAAGATGATGTGGTAAAATTGCCAATGAGACAACTCTTCACCAGAGACCAAATGACATAGAAGTTAACAACTATAGGTCACCGTTGTGTCACTGTGCTAACATCTATTTATTTTCATAGTTGTGTCACTGTACTGGCACCTGTTTATATTCATAGTTGTGTCACTGTACTGGTATCTGTTTATATTCATAGTTGTGTCACTGTACTGGCACCTGTTTATATTCATAGTTGTGTCACTGTGCTAACATCTGTTTATATTCATAGTTGTGTCACTGTACTGGCACCTGTTTATATTCATAGTTGTGTCACTGTACTGGTATCTGTTTATACTCCTAAATATGTTACTGTGCTGACATTTGGATGTCTGACATTGGTTTATATTCCTTGTTATGCCAATTGGTAACATCTACTTATTTTCATAGGTGTGTCACTGCACTGACATCTGGTTATGTTTCTTGTTGAGTGACCGTTCTGACACCTTGTTATGTTCCTTGTTGAGTGACCGTTCTGACACCTTGTTATGTTCCTTGTTGAATGACTGTTCTGCCATCTGGTTATGTTCCTTGTTGAGTGACTGTTCTGACATCTTGTTATGTTCCTTGTTGAGTGACTGTTCTGACATCTTATGTTCCTTGTTGAATTACTGTTCTGACATCTTGTTATGTTCCTTGTTTAGTTACTGTTCTGACATCTGGTTATGTTCCTTGTTGAGTGACTGTTCTGACATCTTGTTATGTATTTGTTGAATGACTGTTCTGACATCTGGTTATGTTCCTTGTTGAGTGACTGTTCTGACATCTTGTTATGTATTTGTTGAATGACTGTTCTGACATCTGGTTATGTTCCTTATTGACTGACTGTTTTGACATCTTGTTATGTTACTTGTTGGGTGATTGTTCTGACATCTGGTTATGTTCCTTGTTGAGTGATTGTTCTGACATCTTGTTATGTATTTGTTGAATGACTGTTCTGACATCTTGTTATGTTCCTTGTTGAGTGACCGTTCTGACATCTTGTTTTGTATTTGTTGAATGACTGTTCTGACATCTGGTTATGTTCCTTGTTGAGTGACTGTTCTGACATCTGGTTACGTTCCTTATTGACTGACTGTTTTGACATCTTGTTATGTTACTTGTTGGGTGATTGTTCTGACATCTGGCTATGTTCCTTGAGTGACTGTTCTATCATCTGGTTTTGTTCCTTGTTGAATTACTATCACTGAAAAGACTTCACTTCTAAATTATTAGGGGTCAGGGAAAACCCTAGACTCCTACCACAAGTTCTAATAACGATGCCATGCGAAATGTGAAGATAGCTCTGCCTAACAAGACTACATATATCAGTTAAACTTTTATATCCTCACAAACCTACCTAAGTTCAGGGTTTCATCCAAAACCTATTGTACTAGTCCCAGCTGGAAACAACCATGAATTCAAGACCAAAATTTTTTACAAGTTCAGGTAATTTGGAGCTCTATCTCTCATGTACCTCTCATAACTGTATTCCTTTGGCACTGTCATTTCTAAAGCATGATGAACTTTTTAGTTTGTCAAAATAAAATATAAGTCTGTGAGATTGTCTGGACTACTAGTATTTCAGGAATCACAAATTGTAATGACAAAAAATGTTTGTGTGACCTATATATTGACATACTTATAATTGTGACCTATTCTTGCTACAGAAAGAAAAATCTTTTGTCAAATTCTTATGACAAACATATTTGTAATTCTGGAATCAGGTGTGATAACTCACAAGCATTTGAGACCTATTATAATTACTGACATGCATTTATGAATTATTCTAATTCCTGACATGCGTTTGTAACTTATTCTAATTACTAACATGAATTATGACTGATGTTCATTTGTTACCTATTCTAATAACTCACATGCATATCGACCCATTCTAATGACTGAAATGAATTTGTGGCTTTTTATAATAAAATAACATGCATTTGTGGTCTATTCTAATAACTGACATGAATTTATGGTCCATTCTAATAACTGACATGAATTTGTGGCCTATTCTAATATCTTACATGAATTTTTGGCCTATTCTAATAACTAACATGCATTTTTGGTCTATTCTTATAACTTACATGAACTTGTGGCCTATGCTTATTTCACATGCATTGTTGGTCTATTCTAATAACTACACTGTAACATGCTTTTTTTTGCCTATTCTTATGAATTACATGAATTTGTGGCCTATGCTAATAACTTGCATGCATTTTTGGCCTATTCTAATAACTAACTTGCATTTTTTGCCTATCCTAATAACTAACTTGCATTTTTGGTCTATTCTAATGACTGATATAAATTTGTGACCTATTTAAATAACTTACATGCATTTGTGGCCTATTTCAATAACTAACATGCATTTTTGGTCTATTCTAATAATTTACATGAATTTGTTGCCTATGCTAATAACATGCATTTTTGGCCTATTCTAATGACTGGTCTGCACTTTTGGCCTATTGTAATAACTAATATGAATTTTTGGACTATTCTAATATCAGACATTAATTTGTGGCCTATGTTAATGACTGACATGCATTTTTGGTCTATTCTCATAAAAGACATAATTGTGTGGCCTATTCTATTAACTTACACAAATGTGTGGCCTATTTTAATAGCTAACATGCATATTCACCAATTTTAAATTAATAACTGATATAAATTTGTAAACTATTCTAATAACTGACATAATTTGTAAATTATTCTAATGACTGACATCATCAGTGACCTATTCTAATGACTGACATCATCAGTGACCTATTCTAATGACTGACATCATCAGTGACCTATTCTAATGACTGACATGCACTTTTGGCCTGTTCTATTAACTTACATGAATTTGTGGCCTATTTTAATAACTAACATGCATTTTTGGTCTATTCTAATAATTTACATGAATTTGTTGCCTATGCTAATAACATGCATTTTTGGCTTATTCTAATGACTGGTCTGCATTTTTGGCCTATTGTAATAACTAATATGAATTTTTGGCCTATTTTAATATCAGACATTAATTTGTGGCCTATGCTAATGACTGACATGCATTCTTGGTCTATTCTCATAACTAACATGCATATTCTCCAATTTTAAATAACTGATATAAATTTGTTAACTATTCTAATAACTGACATAATTTGTAACTTATTCTTATGACCGACATCATCAGTGACTTATTCTAATGACTGACATGCATTTTTGGCCTGTTCTAATAACTTACATGAATTAATGGCCTATTCTAATATCTTACATGAATATTTGGCCTATTCTAATAACTAACATGCATTTTTGGCCTATTCTATAACTTACATGAACTTGTGGCCTATGCTTATAACTCACATGCATTGATGATCTATTCTAATAACTAACATGCTTTTTTTGCCTATTCTTATGAATTACATGAATTTGTGGCCTATGCTAATAACTAACATGCATTTTTGGCCTATAATAACTAACTTGCATTTTTGGCCTTTTCTAATGACTGACATCATCTGTGACCTATTCAAATGACTTGATCTTCTTTTGTGGCCTATTCTAATAACTAACATACATTTGTGGCCTATTCTAATAACTAAGATTCGTTTTTGGCCTATTCTATTCACTAACATGCATTATTGGCCTATTCTAATGATTAACCTCATCTGCTTTTCTAGTGACTGGCATAAATTTGTGACCTTTTGTAAATTTAAAATAAGTTTGTCTCTCAATATTGTGACCTACAATTTTCATTCTAGTATCTTCCTCAATATGTTGGTGGCTCCAACATGGTCAAATGCAACCTATGACCCTAGGGGGTTTTGGTGTAGGCAGGGGGCCCTGCGACCCGACGTCTCAAATAAAAGGACTTGAAACCTTTAAAAATGTTTGAAAATCTGTTATGTCAATTTTCTTAGAAGTGACCTGGTGACTATGAGGCAATCAATATGACCTTTTGACCTAAGGGGGCCATCCTACTGGAGCCCCACAGTGACCTACTATACAGTTCTGGTTTATTGCCAAATAAGGGGAAAACACTCAGATATGATGCAGAAAAAATGTCAATGAGACAAGACTTTGTCATCTGTACAGAGATATTTCAGAGTGAAATATATACTATCAGAAGCAGTCACTGTGAAATAATCTTTACCAAGAGTAAATTACAAATGAAGCATTATGTGTGTACTGAGACAATGTGAAAAAATTGCATTAAAGACTATTTCAAAAACAAATAAGAAAGCATGACATTGTTTTGGGTTGATTTTTTTAGAGGATGAGTTGCAGTCTCATTGATGTATACCTTGCATCTTCCTTTATTTATACTGTAGATTTATCGGAGGATTCGAACTTTCATGGACTGAGGAAAAAATTGTCTTTTCATGGATATTTGATTTCATGATTTTGCCTAGGTAGTATACAAGTCTGTAGAAAAGTTTTACTTCTTTGAACATTTAAATTAGTTGTTCACCTTTACACACTAATTCCACGAAACTTGGTATCCCACAATTAATAATGAATCCACAGTATATAAAAACAAGACTGTAAAAACTAAGGATATCTGGTAGAAAAGATGTTTTAATTAAATTGTTCAAGCATCCATTGAAAGGACTAGATTTCTAAACATTAACATATCAAATCTGTTTTACTTTCATAAAGACTTGTTACAATATATGAAAAATAAGTTTGAAAAGAATTTTTTTTATTTTACCTGACCTCACTAGAATAGCTAAGGTAATTCTTTTTAACATCTGTTTACAATAAATATCTGTTTAACATACATATAAAACTTTATTGTTTCAAATATTTTTGAAAAAAAACCCTGACATTTTTAAAACAAAATACTATCATTTCCAAATATTTTGGAAAGACATAAATGTTATATTATATATTTGGCAAGTCTCTTTGTTTCTCTCTCACTCTTCACTGTGATATTTTATTGTTAATGTTATTAAAAAATAAAAACTTAATGTTAAAAATCAGTATGAAATACTGTTGTTTCCTTGTGATAGATTGCAAGTTGCTTAATAATTACATGCATATACAGAATAACTGGTTCATTGTGATGTTCTATTAAGAAACATATAATTACATTTAACAGGTTCAGTATCATGGAAAAAGAATACTTATATGGATTTTCAAAAGAAAAATATTTCTTCAGGAATCTGTATGACAACTTACGGTACCATGTGATCAATAAAAAGACCAGGATGTAAATGACCATGTGATCACTAAAAAGACCGTGGATGTAAATGACCATGTGATCAATAAAAAGACCAGGATGTAAATGACCATGTGATCAATAATAAAATGCTTCGCTGGGCGCAGCTTGATACGACCGCAGAGGTCGAACCCTGAACAGTTGGGGTTAGTATAGACACAACATTCAAGCTTGATACAGCTCTGAATTTGGATTGTGATTAAATATTTGACACAGCATAGGTTTCTGACACAGAAAGAATGTGGTCTAAGAACTTCAATTTTTTTAATTTACCTATTATGGTCCAATGTCCAAAATCAAAATACATGGTTAGATTCAGCATATCAAAGAACCCCATATATTCAATTTTTGTTGAAATCAAACAAAGTTTAATTTTGGACCCCAACTTGGACCAACTTGAAAACTGGTCCCATAATCAAAAATCTAAACACATGTTTAGATTCAGCATATCAAAGTACCCCAAGAATTCAATTTTTGTTAAAATCAAACTAAGTTTAATTTTGGACCCTTTGGACCTTAATGTAGACCAATTTAAAAATGGGACCCAAAATTAAAAATCTAAAAACACGGTTAGATTTGGCATATCAAAGAACCCCAATAATTCAATTTTTGACCCTTTTGACCTCAATGTGGACAAAGTTGATAACGGGGCCCAAAAATCAAAAATCTAAATACATGGTTAGATTCAGCATATCAAAGAACCCCATATATTCAATTTTTGTTGAAATCAAACAAAGTTTAATTTTGGACCCTTTTGACCTCAATATGAACCAATTTGATAGCGGGGTCCACAAATAAAAAATCTAAATACATGGTTAGATTCGGCATATCAAAGAACCCCATATATTCAATTTTTGTTGAAATCAAACAAAGTTTAATTTTGGACCCCAATTTGGACCAACTTGAAAACTGGGCCAAAAATCAAAAATCTAAATACATGTTAAGATTCAGCATATCAAAGAACCCCATATATTCAATTTTTGTTAAAATCAAACAAAGTTTAATTTTGGACCCTTTGGACCTTAATGTAGACCAATTTGAAAACTGGACCCAAAATTAAAAATCTAAATACGAGGTTAGATTCAGCATAACAAATAAATAAATGTGGTCGAAGATTTTACAAATCTAATGCGCCATACTGTGCAATAAAGGTTTTCTCTTGAAATTTTTCAATATTTGAAATTTGAAAAAAAAAAAAAATATTTGAAGAATAATTCTTTTTAATTTCTGAAATCTGAAATGAGAAAAAATTGACCCCCCACAATTTCTTTTTACTCCCCCCCCCCCTTTTTTCCCCAAAAAAATTCTTTCCCTCATGATATGGTCATAATCTCAATTCAAATTTCCAATGGAGTTTGCAACCATAATTACCCATTTAAATTTACCATAGTGCTAACTTAATCTATTTTATAATAGAATTTAAAATATAGTGTCAAATCTTTCATATGGATTTTTTTGTAAAAAAAAAAGATGCAACATTTGCAGATATTTTTACTGGTCTTCCTTTATAAATATGCATTTCTTTAAACATAATTTAAAAGCAGTGTAAGGGAAGTAACCAAAACGATGTATTTGGATTACCTCCCTTACACTGTTTTAAAATATCTTAATTATTCATTAACCATTACTTTATACATAATTTAAAAGCAGTGTAAGGGAGATAATTTCAATGATGTATTTGATTTATCTCCCTTACACTGCTTTAAATTATGTTTTGTACTAAAGTATTTGTCCATTAACCAGGACAACCTTGTTTTTCCCCCTTTTTTGCCCCTAATTCTTAAACGGTTTGAGCCATAACCCCCCAAAGCAAATCCTAACCATCCCTTTGTGGTATGGAAACTTGTAGTATAATTTCAGAGAGATCCATACACCGTTCCACAGTTATTGTCTGGAAACTAGAAAATGCTTATTTTTGGCCCCTTTTTGGCCCCTAATTCCTTAACTGTTGGTACCATAACCCCCAAAATCAATCCCCACCTTCCTTTTGTGGTATTGAACCTTATGGTAAAATTTCATAGAGATCCATTCACTTAAACTAAAGTTAGAGTGCGAAAACTAATGCGTCTTCGGACGACGACGCTGGACGACGACGACAACGCCGGACGACGACGACGACGACACCAACTTCATACCAATATATGACCACAAAAATTTTTTTGCGGTCGTATAAAAAGACCAGGATGTAAATGACCATGTGATCAATAAAAAGACCAGGATGTAAATGACCATGTGATCAATAAAAAGACCAGGATGTAAATGACCATGTGATCACTAAAAAGACCAGGATGTAAATGACCATGTGATCACTAAAAGACAAGACTGTAAAGCATGACAATGGTAAACTTCAGATTTCCTCAGCAAACATATATATATGTCTATATTTTACTACAAATAAAATTTCTATATATTCTCTAATATTACAATAATTTGCATTATGCCACAGATTTCGTAGCACTACCTAAATACACCTTAAAAATTATACATGTATTTAGACTGAATGCATACTTTTTTATAACCAAATCATATAGTGTAGGTTTATTATTCAAATTCAGTAGATTTAATGTTTAATGGTCATTGGCTATAGTAGGTGTGAGATTTTTTAAAGCAGTTAAGTTGTTGTAAAAAGTGCTCAAAAGCACCTCACTCTTATATTGTTAATAATTTGAGAATTTATTTTGAGAACTTTTTACAACAACTTGACAAATCCTTCTTGAATATCATGTTATGATGTTAATGCCATAAATGCTATTTCTAATTGAGACTATTTCAAAATTGCTTCATAGAATCAAGGTCAGTTTTCTCTCTTTCACACTGTATCTAGATGTTGTCTTGGACAAGATACTTCCCTCTAACTCAAAATACAAGTGATATAAATACAGCATTTAAATCATCTATATAATTAAAAACAAATACACAACAACATAGTGTCATTAGTATCCTTACCTACTGTGAGACTGAGTGAATTTCTATTGACTATTATTAGTTGACAGATGTATTACCCTTTGTCACTGTAAATAAGAACAATTCACTTGGTGGGACTTCTCACACAGTATTATATAGATATTTCATTTTTGTACCAACATGCAAAGGAAAACATTTTTTCAAGTAAATAAATACATTATATTGCACACCTATATACATGTATCACACAACAGTTCAGACCTAAATATTCCACAAAGTTTAGTAAGAAAACATCACTTTCCAAATATATAAACTTTTACCACTGAAACACTGTAGCATCTATGAATGGCATTGAACTACAGTTTTACACTAAATAATATCATGAATATCCACAGTTTTTAATGTAATGACACTATGAATTCGATGCAGCAATATTACCATCTTTATCTGTGCTGCTTTAACTCTACCAAACCAGAACAAAAGGAGGGGGATGGAAAGTTAACTCTGTTTTCTCATAACTTTTGGATTGAAACCAGGTATTTTTTTATGGAGTTATTTTTTATTTCTGGTGTATTTCAGTAAAAATTACAAAAGAAAAATATTTCAGGTCAGAGAGCAAAAGGCCTACTACTATCTTACATTAACGAAACGAAAAGAAAAAAGCAATTCAGTTTTTTTAAACATATTTTATTGTTCAAAATGACAAATGGATCAGTCACAAGTATTACTTAACAATGTCTTCTCCCAAAAAATTAAAAGTTAAATTAAAAATGCATTTGGTGGAGAAAAAGAGATGGATGACACAAATAAACGATGGTTGGTCCTTATGGTTAATGAACTGGATGTGTTGAAACTACATAAATACCCAGTCTGATGCCAAAAAATGGAGTGAAAATGCTATGGGGCAATAAAACACTAATTTGAAAAAGACAGACAACATCATGGCCACGAGAAAGAAAAACTGACAAACAACAATCGACAAATTCCTACATAGAAATCTAGAGATTGATTTACATAAATATTATAAAAAAAACATGGTTCCTGCTCCTTAGTGGCACCAATTTAAAAACTGGTGATTTGACATTATGTGATGCCATCTGGCTAAATAAAGTGGATCCTATAAATGGGAATCTGTGACAGAAATTCCATAATGTAAACCAAATCAACATAGTGTCAGAAAATAGTCTGTTTCATGTCCAAGAAATGTAGATTATTGATAAGAACCTGGGGTTCTTTTCACAAACAATCTTACAACTAAAATTGATTGTAAGTTATACTGAAATAATTTTTTTGTGAAAAGAGATGTTGATCTGTAACTCCACCACTATACACTAATAAACCAAAAATCTGGTGTAATAAAAAAAGTCTGTTGGACTACAGTTGGATTTCAATATAATGGAAGGACAGACAAAGGTAACACTAGATGATAGGGCATAAAAACAGTGAAAACTTGTTCCAAAGAAAAATAGTTCTGATTCAAGCATTTAAATGCTTTCAGCTACATAAAGACAAAATTTTCATCAATTATGGTGCAAAAATCCCTTATCTTATTTGTCTTTTGAGTATAAAATATAAAAGCTAATCAATAACTTATTAAAGAAAATATTTTTTTCTTCAATATTTTGGAAAACATATAGTAGTCGCAAGTCGCAATTACAATAGACAACATATCACAAATCCTCCTCAATGTTCACATCTATTACAATCAGCTGCTGATACATCTGAACACATTATCTTAATTTCAAACAGACACACTCTGTACTTCCTGTCCAACTTTCTCACCTTCTGATTGGAGATCACTTCTATGCTACAGTAGGAGCCAGCCTTGAAATGAAAGCTATAATCTTGGTTAACATATTCTTAACCATAGCTGGACATTGAGGCTTGTTACATAAATATTCTATAGTTACTCTTAGTTCATGGAACAGAGTCCTAGAAAAAAAAAAGTAAACATTTTCAGAATTATATAACAATCATATGAATTAACATTTTTTGCCTTTTTAAGTAAGTCTTTTTTAGTGTGATGCAAGGAGGAGAAAACCCTTTTAATTCTGAAATACAACATGTATTGTTGAATTGCTGACTTACGGACATAAAACTATTCTATACCTTCTATGGATTTTTATTCTTAACAACTCTTTAATATACCAACAGATACTCTGATTGTTATGTTTTTCAACATCTAGATTTTGGTATTGTATATATAGCAAAATGCAAAACACATTTTGACAATGTTGATGATTTTTTATTTAATTATCCTTTTTAAAAATAAACACATACTATGAATTCATTTTTTCCCCTATACCCACGAGATCCAAGAAAATTGTTAACCCACAAATAATAATGACTCCACAGTATGAATTGATCATAAAATTTCAAATGCGTTAATAAATAGTTGTATATTCAAACACATTTACATCAAATCGTGCTACTACATAAAGTGTCTTAAAATCTTAATATTTATATTTTACTACAATTTTTTATGATGTTTCTAAGAATACATATACTTGTTCTTTTGGCTGCAGTCTGTTCAGCTTTGTCACACATATTTATATATGCATTTAACATGTAAAAAGGGAGATAACAATAATTTTATCTAACCATGTTCATGTTTCTGATTGCAGTTATCTCCCTTTCATCTTCCTCCATAACAAGCTAATAATTAATTGCATTAATTTACCTGCAGTATGGGTTTCTCCTGGAGGAATATCTCAGTAGAAGAAATCTGTAGTAGATGATTGGTAAGAACAAGGAACATTTACCTCTGTAATACAAAATATATAAATGATTTATGATCAATCGTATGAAATTAATTGTAAACAGAACAATAATATATAAATAACACATAGCTGAGAGGGTGTTAGAGCAGATTGTTACCCTGAGAAAACATTGTCAACCAAGGGATAACAATCTACTCTATCACTCTCTCAGCTATGTGTTATTTAATTTATTATATTGAATGTTCTGGTATTACTGTCTATTGAATTTAAAATTCAAAGTGATAATCCATGCATCTTGTACACAACAACCATCCTTATTTAATAAAGCGCACAACTGACCAAGCGTCTCTGTGAAGGGTACCCTGGCACTATAATCTACAACTCCTTCTTAACCTGTCATTAGATTTATTGAAAGCTGCAATGTTGCCAATGATATGTGCTACTACTACATTATTTTTCAATGCACCTGAATTTTTGAGGTGCATCATAGCAAAAACATGGACTATGCCATATCAATGCAAATTTATTGTTTTGATAGCTATGCTCACAGTAGTTCTTGTTTTTTGTGGAGCCTACAAAATTTATTTCGCGAAAGCAAGACATAGCGATCCTAGATTCCGACGTCAGCTTCAGCGGCATCAACATTTAGGTTCAGTCTGTGGTTAAAGTTGTTTTAGACATCAATAAATTTGTCAAACCTTCATGAATTTTATATAATTTGGACAGAAGCTTGTTTATGACCAAAAGACAGTATCCAGAGCAAAATATTGAAAACATTTATTTTCCTTTTTCCATATTTTACTAATAAAAGGACATTGCACAAGGTCATGTTTTCTCTGACTGTTAATGACGTCTTTATACTAAATCCATTGGAAGTTGGATGTGTACTGATTGATATTTTAGTCTTAGATACATGATTTTTTTTATTAGTTGTTATTGGCTTTGAACTAGCTGTCAGTAACTGAGAGTGAGTACTCTCAGATCTGTACTTAGTGTCCTTTTTGTTGATATGGGATGAGGGATGAATAAATACCCAGCACGTCTGGTCTGTGTTTTTGTTTGATGTTTTCCTGCTTTGTATCGATCTGATGAGTTAAGCCTTTTTCAACTGATTTTTATAGTTTGTTCTTATGTTGTGCTGTTACACCACTGTCCCAGGTTAGGGGGAGGGTTGAGCGCTCACAAACATGTTTAACCCCACCACATTCTTTATGTGCCTGTCCCAAGTCAGGAGCCTGTAGTTCAGTGGTTGTCGTTGGTTCATGTCATATTTGTTTTTCATAAATTGTTTTGTTATAAATTAGGCAGTTAGTTTTCTCAATTGAATTGTTTCATATTTTTCATGTCAGGGCTTTTATAACCCACTATATTTGTATAGATTTTTCTCATTGTTGAAAGCTGTACGGTTGCCTACAAATTCTTACATCCACTTTATTTGAACTTTGGTGGATAATTGTCTCATTGGCAATCATACCACATCTCCTTATTTTTATATTAGTTTTTTTACAGTTAGCATTCAGATTTAGCCTGAGATTTTAAGTTTTTCGTCCATTAATAACTTTATAAAACCTTCATGGAATTTTATGAATTTTGGACAGAAGCTTGTTTATGATCAAAAGACAGTATCCAGGGCAAAATTTTGAAAATATTTATTTTTATTTTTCCGTATTTTACTGATAAATGGACTTAGTTTTTTTTTTATAGTTAATATTCAGATTTAGTCTGAGGTTGAAGTTTTTTTAGACATCAATAACTTTGTCAAACCTACATGGAATTTTATGAAATTTGGACAGAAGCTTGTTTATGACCAAAAGACGTATCCAGAGCAAAATTTTGAAAATATTTATTTTCATTTTTCCATATTTTACTGATAAATGGAATTGTTTTTTTCACAGTTAACACTCAGTTTCAGTCTGAGATTAAAGTTTTTCAGTCATCAATAACTTTGTCAAACCTTCATGGAAATTTATGAAATTTGGACAGAAGCTTGTTTATGACTAAAGGACAGTATCCAGAGCAAAAGTTTGAAAATATTTATTTTCATTCTTCTGTATTTTACTGATAAATGGACTTAGTTTCTTTTACAGTTAACAAGTAGATACAGTCTGGGGTTAAAGTTTGTTACACATCAATTGCTTTGACAAACCTTCAGAGAGTTTTATGAAACTTTGGCAGAAGCTTTTTAATGATTAAGAGATCATGTCTGAAGCAAACCTTTGAAAACATATTTTTTTCATTTTTTGTATTTTTTCTAATAGATGGACTTTAACAGTTCACATTTACAGACAGTCTGGGATTAAATTTTTTTGACATGATCAATTTGTAAACCTTCATGTGTTATGAAACTTGGACAAGACCAAGAAATAGCATAAAGAAAAAGGCGTTTTTTTTTTCTCTTTTCAATTGTTTCAAATTTTGTAATGTCAGGGCTTTTTATAGTACTATACAGTACGGGGGTTGCCCCGTTGTTGAAGGCCATACAGTTCCCTTTAATTGTTTACATCCTAGATCTATGGTCTCATTTACAATCATTCCCAAACTCCTTATATTTTACGATTACTTTTTCTACCCCAAAATGTTGAACAAAAACTACAACAAAAGCCTACTTGAGTCCATGAGTTGGTGCTTGATAACCATCAGAATATTATTGATTGACCTTACCGAATCATCAGTTTCCCTTTCCTTAGTTTCTGATTTAAATTAAAAACACTTACGTAAATGTCATTAAAAAGACAGCTGGCATAATAAATATCTCAGTACAGGCTATAAATCTCAGTATACTGATTTGCTGAGCCTGCAGTTTGGTTATCATATTTCTGACAAACTGAATAGACTGTGGACCCATAACCTGTAAAAATAAAATGCTCCGCTGGGGCGCAGCTTGATACGACCGCAGAGGTCGAACCCTGAACAGTTTGGGCAAGTATGGACACAACATTCAAGCTTGATACAGCACTGAATTTGGATTGTAATTAAATATTTGACACAACATAGGTTTCTGACACAGAATGAAAGTGGTCTAAGAACTTAAAATTTTTTAATTTACCTATTCAAACCATATCATTATTATTTGCTTTTATATATAAATCAGGAATAACCAATTTAAAATGGTAAATTTTTAAGAAAAAAAAGGAAAAAAAAATCCCCCCCCCAAATTTTTTGAACCCCCTTATGATTCATCACCCCCAAACTCAATCTCAGCCTTCCCTTTGTGGTATGGTACCTTGCAGTACAATTTCAGAGAGATCCATACACTTGAACACAAGTTATTGTCTTGAAACTAGAAAAAAGCTTGTTTTTTGGCCCCAAATTCCTAAACGTTTAGGGCAATTACCCCCAAACTCAAACCCAGCTTTCCCTTTGTGATATGGAACCTTGCAGTACAATTTCATAAAGATCCATACACTTACACACAAGTTATTGTCCTGAAACTAGAATAAAATGCTTCGCTGTGCGCAGCTTGATACGACCGCAGAGGTCGAACCTCGAACAGTTGGGGCAAGTATGGACACAACATTCAAGCTTGAAACAGCTCTGAATTTGGATTGTGATTAAATATTTGACACAGCATAGGTTTCTGACACAGAAAGAATGTGGTCTAAGAACTTCAATTTTTTTAATTTACCTATTATGGTCCAATGTCCAAAATAAAAATACATGGTTAGATTCAGCATATCAAAGAACCCCATATTCATTTTTTGTTGAAATCAAACAAAGTTTAATTTTGGACCCCAACTTGGACAATCTTGAAAACTGGTCCCATAATCAAAAATCTAAACACATGTTTAGATTCAGCATATCAAAGTACCCCAATAATTCAATTTTTGTTAAAATCAAACTAAGTTTAATTTTGGAACCTTTAGACCTTTATGTAGACCAATTTAAAAAACGGGACCCAAAATTAAAAATCTAAAAACACGGTTAGATTTGGCATATCAAAGAACCCCAATGATTCAATTTTTGATGAAATAAAACAAAGTTTAATTTTGGACCCTTTTGACCTCAATATGAACCAATTTCATAGCGGGCCCACAAATAAAAAATCTAAATACATGGTAAGATTCAGCATATCAAAGAACCCCATATATTCAATTTTTGTTGAAATCAAACAAAGTTTAATTTAGGACCCCAATTTGGACCAACTTGAAAACTGGGCCCAAAAATCTAAAATATAAATACATGTTTAGATTCAGCATATCAAAGAACCCCATATATTCAATTTTTGTTGAAATCAAACAAAGTTTAATTTTGGACCCCAACTTGGACCAACTTGAAAACTGGTCCCATAATCAAAAATCTAAACACATGTTTAGATTCAGCATATCAAAGAACCCTAAGAATTCAATTTTTGTTAAAATCAAACTAAGTTTAATTTTGGACCCTTTGGACCTTAATGTAGACCAATCTAAAAAAACGGGACCCAAAATTAAAAATCTAAATACACGGTTAGATTTGGCATATCAAAAAACCCCAATAATTCAATTTTTGATGAAATCAAACAAAGTTTAATTTTGGACACTTTTGACCTCAATATGAACCAATTTGATAGCGGGGTCCACAAATAAAAAATCTAAATACATGGTTAGATTCAGCATATCAAAGAACCCCATATATTCAATTTTTGTTGAAATCAAACAAAGTTTAATTTTGGACCCCAATTTGGACCAACTTGAAAACTGGGCAAAAAATCAAAAATCTAAATACATGTTTAGATTCAGCATATCAAAGAACACCATATATTCAATTTTTGTTAAAATCAAACAAAGTTTAATTTCGGACCCTTTGGACCTTAATGTAGACCAATTTGAAAACTGGACCCAAAATTAAAAATCTAAATACACGGTAAGATTCAACATAACAAATAAATAAATGTGGTCAAAGATTTTACAAATCTAATGCGCCATACTGTGCAATTTAAGATTACTTCTTGAAATTTTTCAATATTTGAAATTTGAAAAAAAAATAATATTTGAAGAATAATTCTTTTTAATTTCTGAAATCTGAAATGAGAAAAAATTGACCCCCCATAATTTCTTTTTACCCCCCCCCCCCCCCACCCCCTTTTTTCCCCAAAAAAATTCTTTCCCTCAAGATATGGTCATAATCTCAATTCAAATTTCCAATGGAGTTTGCAACCATAATTACCCATTTAAATTTACCATAGTGCTAACTTAATCTATTTTATAATAGAATTTAAAATATAGTGTCAAATCTTTCATGTGGATTTTTTTGTAAAAAAAAAAGATGCAACATTTGCAGATATTTTTACTGGTCTTCCTTTATAAATATGCATTTCTTTAAACATAATTTAAAAGCAGTGTAAGGGAAGTAACCAAAACGTTGTATTTGGATTACCTCCCTTACACTGTTTTAAATTATCTTAATTGTTCATTACTTTATACATAATTTAAAAGCAGTGTAAGGGAGATAATTTCAATGATGTATTTGATTTATCTCCCTTACACTGCTTTAAATTATGTTTTGTACTAAAGTATTTGTCCATTAACCAGGACAACCTTGTTTTTCCCCCTTTTTTGCCCCTAATTCTTAAACGGTTTGAGCAATAACCCCCCAAAGCAAATCCTAACCATCCCTTTGTGGTATGGAAACTTGTAGTATAATTTCAGAGAGATCCATACACCGTACCACAGTTATTGTCTGGAAACTAGAAAATGCTTATTTTTGGCCCCTTTTTGGCCCCTAATTCCTTAACTGTTGGTACCATAACCCCCAAAATCAATCCCCACCTTCCTTTTGTGGTATTGAACCTTATGGTAAAATTTCATAGAGATCCATTCACTTAAACTAAAGTTAGAGTGCGAAAACTAATGCGTCTTCGGACAACGACGCCAAAGGACGACGACGACGCCAACGTCATACCAATATACGACCACAAAAAATTTTTTGCGGTCGTATAAAAATGCTTGTTTTTTTGCCCTTTTATGGCCCCTAATTCCTAAAATTTTGAGGGAATTACCCCCAAAATCAATCCCAGCATTCCCTTTGTGGTATGGCACCTTGCAGTACAATTTCAGAGAGATCCATACACTTGAACACAAGTTATTGTCTGGAAACTAGAAAAATGCTTATTTTTGGCCCCTTATTCCTAAACTTTTTGGGCAATTACCCCCAAACTCAAACCCAGCTTTCCCTTTGTGATATGGAACCTTGTAGTACAATTTCATAAAGATCCATACACTTACACACAAGTTATTGTCATGAAACTAGAAAAATGCTTGTTTTTTGCCCCTTATTCCTAAAATGTGGAGGCAATTACCCCAAAAATCAATCCCAGCATTCCCTTTGTGATATGGAACCTTGTGGTATAATGTCAGAGAGATCCATACACTTACACACAAGTTATGTCTGGAAGTTACAAAAATGCTTATTTTTGGCCCCTTTTTGGCCCCTAATTCCTTAACTGTTGGTACCATAACCCCCAAAATCAATCCCCATCTTCCTTTTGTGGTATTGAACCTTATGGTAAAATTTCATTGAGATCCATTCACTTAAACTAAAGTTAGAGTGCGAAAACTAATGTGTCTTCGGACGACGACGACGTCATACCAATATACGACCATAAAATTTTTTTTGCAGTCGTATAAAAACAGTAATCACAGTAAATAATAGGCTTAAAATTTTAAAAAATTTATCAATTAAATTCCATGCTTTATATTTATTTTTCAGAGTAATTACTTGTTTACATAAAATGCTCTGCAGGGCGCAGCTTGATACGACCGCAGAGGTCAAACTCTGAACAGTTGGGGCAAGTATGGACACAACATTCTAGCTTGATACAGCTCTGAATTTGGATTGTGATTAAATATTTGACACAGCAAAGGTTTCTGACACAGAATGAATGTGGTCTAAGAACTTAAAAATTTTAAATTAGACATTCACCTATTATGGTCCAATATCCAAAATCTAAATACATGGTTAGATTCAGCATATCAAAGAACCCCAAGAATTCAATTTTGATGAAATCAAACAAAGTTTAATTTTGGACCCTTTTGACCTCAATGTGGACAAAGTTGATAACGGGGCCCAAAAATCAAAATCTAAATACATGGTTAGATTCAGCATATCAAAGAACCCCATATATTCAATTTTTGTTGAAATCAAACAAAGTTTAATTTTGGACCCCGATTTGGACCAACTTGAAAACTGGACCAATAATCAAAAATCTAAATACATGTTTAGATTCAGCATATCAAAGAACCCTAAAAATTCAATTTTTGTTAAAATCAAACTAAGTTTAATTTTGGACCCTTTGGACCTTAATGTAGACCAATTTGAAAACGGAACCAAAAATTAAGAATCTAAATACACGGTTAGATTCGGCATATCAAAGAACCCCAATAATTCAATTTTTGATGAAATCAAACAAAGTTAAATTTTGGACCCTTTGGACCTCAATGTGGACCAATTTAAAAACGGGGCCCAAAATCCAAAAACTTAATACACGGTTAGATTCAGCATATTAAAGAACCCCAAGAATTCAAGAATAAACCCCATTGAAATTGATCAAGAAATAAGCAATTTATACGAAGCATCTTCTTTTGCACAATACTGTGCAATTGAATATTTCTTGCTATTGCGCAATACTGTACAATTGACAATTTCTTGCTATTGCACAATATTGTGCTATTGGATATTTCTTGCTATTGCGCAATTGAAGATTTCTTGCTATTGTGCAATACTGTGCAATTGAAGATTTCTTGCTATTGTGCAATACTGTGCAATTGAAAATTTCTTGCTATTGCACAATACTTATTATATAATAATTTACACATCCTGTTTGGTGTGTATCTCCTACCATATCATTATTATTTGCTTTTAAATATAAATCAGAAATAACCAACTTAAAATGGAAAATTTTAAAAGAAAAAAAAAAGGAAAAAAAGAAAAAAAAAGAAAAAAAAAAAATCCCCCCCCCCCAAATTTTTTGAACCCCCTTATGATTCATCACCCCAAAACTCAATCCCAGCCTTCCCTTTGTGGTATGGTACCTTGCAGTACAATTTCAGAGAGATCCATACACTTGAACACAAGTTATTGTCTGGAAACTAGAAACATGCTTATTTTTGGCCCCTTTTTGGCCCCCAATTCCTAAACGTTTCGGGCAATTACCCCCAAACTCAATTCCAGCTTTCCTTTTGTGATATGGAACCTTGTAGTACAATTTCAGAAATATCCAAACACTTACACACAAGTTATTGTCATGAAACTAGAAAAATGCTTGTTTTTTGCCCCTTTTTTGGCCCCTAATTCCTAAAATTTTGAGGCAATTACCCCCAAAATCAATCCCAGCATTCCCTTTGTGATATGGAACCTTGTGGTATAATGTCAGAGAGATCCATACACTTACACACAAGTTATGTCTGGAAGTTACAAAAATGCTTATTTTTGGCCCCTTTTTGGCCCCTAATTCCTTAACTGTTGGTACCATAACCCCCAAAATCAATCCCCATCTTCCTTTTGTGGTATTGAACCTTATGGTAAAATTTCATTGAGATCCATTCACTTAAACTAAAGTTAGAGTGCGAAAACTAATGTGTCTTCGGACGACGACGACGTCATACCAATATACGACCATAAAATTTTTTTTGCAGTCGTATAAAAACAGTAATCACAGTAAATAATAGGCTTAAAATTTTAAAAAATTTATCAATTAAATTCCATGCTTTATATTTATTTTTCAGAGTAATTACTTGTTTACATAAAATGCTCTGCAGGGCGCAGCTTGATACGACCGCAGAGGTCAAACTCTGAACAGTTGGGGCAAGTATGGACACAACATTCTAGCTTGATACAGCTCTGAATTTGGATTGTGATTAAATATTTGACACAGCATAGGTTTCTGACACAGAATGAATGTGGTCTAAGAACTTAAAAATTTTAAATTAGACATTCACCTATTATGGTCCAATATCCAAAATCTAAATACATGGTTAGATTCAGCATATCAAAGAACCCCAAGAATTCAATTTTGATGAAATCAAACAAAGTTTAATTTTGGACCCTTTTGACCTCAATGTGGACAAAGTTGATAACGGGGCCCAAAAATCAAAATCTAAATACATGGTTAGATTCAGCATATCAAAGAACCCCATATATTCAATTTTTGTTGAAATCAAACAAAGTTTAATTTTGGACCCCGATTTGGACCAACTTGAAAACTGGACCAATAATCAAAAATCTAAATACATGTTTAGATTCAGCATATCAAAGAACCCTAAAAATTCAATTTTTGTTAAAATCAAACTAAGTTTAATTTTGGACCCTTTGGACCTTAATGTAGACCAATTTGAAAACGGAACCAAAAATTAAGAATCTAAATACACGGTTAGATTCGGCATATCAAAGAACCCCAATAATTCAATTTTTGATGAAATCAAACAAAGTTAAATTTTGGACCCTTTGGACCTCAATGTGGACCAATTTAAAAACGGGGCCCAAAATCCAAAAACTTAATACACGGTTAGATTCAGCATATTAAAGAACCCCAAGAATTCAAGAATAAACCCCATTGAAATTGATCAAGAAATAAGCAATTTATACGAAGCATCTTCTTTTGCACAATACTGTGCAATTGAATATTTCTTGCTATTGCGCAATACTGTACAATTGACAATTTCTTGCTATTGCACAATATTGTGCTATTGGATATTTCTTGCTATTGCGCAATTGAAGATTTCTTGCTATTGTGCAATACTGTGCAATTGAAGATTTCTTGCTATTGTGCAATACTGTGCAATTGAAAATTTCTTGCTATTGCACAATACTTATTATATAATAATTTACACATCCTGTTTGGTGTGTATCTCCTACCATATCATTATTATTTGCTTTTAAATATAAATCAGAAATAACCAACTTAAAATGGAAAATTTTAAAAGAAAAAAAAAAGGAAAAAAAGAAAAAAAAAGAAAAAAAAAAAATCCCCCCCCCCAAATTTTTTGAACCCCCTTATGATTCATCACCCCAAAACTCAATCCCAGCCTTCCCTTTGTGGTATGGTACCTTGCAGTACAATTTCAGAGAGATCCATACACTTGAACACAAGTTATTGTCTGGAAACTAGAAACATGCTTATTTTTGGCCCCTTTTTGGCCCCTAATTCCTAAACGTTTCAGGCAATTACCCCCAAACTCAATTCCAGCTTTCCTTTTGTGATATGGAACCTTGTAGTACAATTTCAGAAATATCCAAACACTTACACACAAGTTATTGTCATGAAACTAGAAAAATGCTTGTTTTTTGCCCCTTTTTTGGCCCCTAATTCCTAAAATTTTGAGGCAATTACCCCCAAAATCAATTACAGCCTTCCCTTTGTGATATGGAACCTTGTGGTACAATGTCAGAGAGATCCATACACTTACACACAAGTTATTGTCTGGAAGTTACAAAAATGCTTATTTTTGGCCCCTAATTCCTTAACTGTTGGTACCATAACCCCCAAAATCAATCCCAACCTTCCTTTCGTGGTATTGAACCTTATGGTGAAATTTCATGGAGATCAATTCACTTAAACTAAAGTTAGAGTGCGAAAACCAATGTGTCTTCGGACGACGACGACGCCAACGTCATACCAATATACGCCCAAAAAATTTTTAATTTTTGCGGTCGTATAACTAGAAATTATTGGAAACTTATTAATGTACTGAAAACAAACAAATGAGGCTGTTAGTTTTCTGGTTTGAATTGTTTAACATTTTTCATTTCATGGCCTTTTATAGCATGGTATGCAGTTTAGGTTTTGCTCATTGTTGAAGGCTGTACAGTGACCTATAGTTGCTAACCTTTTCTGCCATGTGGTCTCTGGTGGAGAATTGTCTCATTGGCAATCATACCACATCTTTTTTTTCATATTGCTCAGCAAAATTGGACAAATATAAGATGAAATTATTGGAATCAAGGTGAAATTTTGCAGGCTATTATTGTTATCGTGATCTCGTGCAGCGGTTCAATCCTAGATTACATTAATCAACAATTTTTTATAGCTCTGATGTAAAAGTTGAACAGACCAGTTTCAAAGCTACAGGTAGTTGAGAGATGAAGGGTTAAAAATATAATTTATTTTTAATTTGAAAGCATTTGTTGAGAGACTCATCTTCTTTACACATTTTTTATGTAACTAGTGGAAACCAATGTTGAATACAAACTGGTTTTGTACAAAAGTTCACTTTTCCTTTTTATTGTTTCTCTTTATTTTTTTGCACACTGTTTTCTGCTTTGTGCCTATTTATATAGTTAGTTTAACAAGTCAAAACATAGGTTATTGGCATCATATAAAGATTCTGCTCAAACTGGTGCCAGATACTGTCTTGAAATTTCAGTGAGATCTGAGCTTTTGCTTATGTTGAAGACCTTACTGTGACTTTGGGTTGAAGAATAGTAATAAAAATTAAAAGCAAGAGCTGTCAAATTGAATTTCTATTCTATCAAGGACCATAACTCTCGTTACTTACCCAACGTTCGTAAAACCCAGTTAAAAAAAAATGAAAATTAACAAATATATGATGGATTTATATATCCTACCACAAACATACTTACATTCAAAATTTGTACTGTAAAGTTACATGCATGTAACACTGCATACAAACAGATAGGAATTAGAGACACTAGTAAAACGTTAAGAATAACAATATGTAATTCATTTATAAAACTTTATGAAAGAGGTCTAAAAATTTCTCAAACTTTTTTCATAAAAAGTCAGGGGAATATAACTCAAACTTATGATAAAATTATTGATATATATTTTTTTCTTGTATGCATTTCCTTTTAACCATAAATTTTAGACATCCACTAGTACACACACGTAGAATGTCTTAATAAAAATTAAGAATGTCCATGTAAAGAATGTTGCCATTTGTGTAACAATTTGTTGCATTTTTATAGATAGTTTTTTTGTCATCTGTTCAAGCATTTCTTGTTGTAATTCAAAAGTGACACAACTTCTGATAAACAAAAAGGATACTTGTTAATGGATAGCTGTTCATAAACATAAGGGAATAAATCAAATAATGACAGCTGTCTTCTGCTAACAACAGGGATAAAAACTGTCTGTTCAGCTGAAAGTTTGGTAATCGTTGATGTAGTCGCAGTGCACTTGTAGCAGCATTACTGATTAATGCTCGCTGATAAAATCCATATGGGCTACCACTAAAAATATAAAGCACAATGTCAAGTATAAGCATTTGATAAAAAAAAAAGCATAAAAATATAAAAGATACAGGAGTAATTTACATTCTAATAATGTATACCAGTAGTTAGATAAATGTTAATACCATTCTGATATCAAACCTTTCTGTTTAGCAGATTGTTAACTTTTTCAAACATTTTATCCCCTCTTTATAATTATTGTGTACAGCAAAATCTTTTCTTTATAGTAGCAGAATTGACTTTCTAAGACATTCCACTAAATTTGTACTTGCCATGAGCACAACAACAGGTACCATTGTGAAACAGGAATTGAGTTTGACCACTCATTGTGAAACAGGAAGTGAGTTTGACCAGTCATTGTGAAACAGGAATTGAGTTTGACCACTTTTTTATGTGGGGTCAATCTTTAGTTTTCTATGGACTGTTGTGTGTCTTTGGCTCAATTTTTTCTCTTTGACATGATGTTGTCTGTCTTTTACTTTACACCCTTATGATTTTTGATTATCCCCTTGGTATCTTCTCCCCCTTATTGTTATAAAATCAATAATGATTATTACCCAACAATAGGAAAGAAGAAGAGAAAGGTACAGGCAATGGTGAAGATTCTGGTGATCCACAGAGCTGATTCTATCTTCTTAGACAACATCAATGTCTGTAACAAAACAATAGGCAATCTTATTGATAATCATCATTCTTACATACACAATTCAACATATCTCTACAACAGGTGAGAGATAAAATTGACCCTCATATCATATAGTTAGTTGAAAACAAATGTTTTTTAGTGTGTGTGTAAGAAATTAAAGAACTGATTAAATTTCCATCATGTGGAATAAGAGTTTAAGGACCATTACTTAGACATTTACAAAATCTGGTTTAGTAATCCAACCACCTTTGTACATTTGTTCCTTGCCAAGTAAGGCCATCTAGCATATATGTTGAACTTCACTACATGACTTTGAGTGTTTTTTTTTCTTTTTTTGTTATAAATATAACAAATTTGGTGGAATTAAGGGGAACAACTTTAATCAATGATTAATATTCTTTGCAAATGTGGCATGTCCATACATGTATATGTGTTTTATGTAGCATATCCATATATGTGTTTTATGTTGATGTACAAATGAAAAACATACCTAATACATATCAAAATACACAAACATTTTTAATGATTGATTATGTGAATTTGCAACAGATTCAGCACTAATAAAGTCAACATCAATAATAATCAGCATTTTCCATAAAAAATCTTCACCTAGAGTGATTTCAAACTAAATTACTTCGTGTTTATTGTCACATGCATACAAGATCTATGTTTAAAATGTACATGTGATATAAATTTGTAACATAATTATCCTACCAATACAGATCCTCCAGTCTGTTGTCCTGCATTGCCTTCAGTATTACTGCTACTTCCTGTGGACCCACTTGAGCCACTTCCTGTGGACTCATTTGTGCCACTGTTATCGGCCATCCTTCAAATAAGAATAAAACATACATTGTAATTCAAGTAAAAAATGCAATCGCATGTTTGTTTAGTTTATTATATATTAATTATGAGGTCATGACTGGAAATTGTAATTCTTAGCAGCAAATAACTAGATACTCTGTCATTTCATTTTTGTTTTAGTTTTATGTCTTATGTTCAGCATCATCATCTTTTTTTTTATACACATGACATATTTATCTCTGGATTTTAAGCAAATAAATCAAATTCAAATTCAAAATTCAAAATTCAAATTCTTTATTTCCTAATCACAGGGCCCTTTTAGGCATTACAGAATTTCACACGATCATTCACACATTCATACCAATCTTTCTCGCTCCGCTCACTCTGATTATGTTAATTAGATACAGTACATTAGAACATACATAAAAGTCATCATATAAGTATAAATCATACAAGTCCAGTTAGTGAATAAAGAGAGATAAGTTCAGATAACTCTGATTGTTGAAATAAACATTTTCTTTTTACCAGGTAGATGATCATTATGATTGAGTACAATTATGCTGTTTTCTTTCTGCAAAGTTAAGCTTTAAAAATTCACACAATAGAGATAAAAATGTGTTGTCTTCATTTATGATTATCCATAAAACCAGGTTAATTGTACTTAGATATTTTACATTGGTTATCAATCTGAGATAGTAAAGTTTTCTCCTATGGTTATATTTAGGACATTGAAATAAAAAATGTGCTTCGTCCTCTACTTGGTTTAAATCACAGACATGACAGAACTGAATCAAATAACAATCAATCACTGTGACACAGTCATCATATGATCTCAATTTGTGTAGTCAGAGATATAAACTCCATTCAATGGCCAAATTATCTTAAAATATCACACAGCTATCACCTTATTTTTTTAACTACTTTTTCATGTGCTTACAGATTATAGATGGTTTTCAAATGAGAGGGTGTTTCTCAGCTACAATCTCATCGAGAGGGTGACAGCCCTGAGATAAGATGTGGCCAAGAAACATCGACGAGATTGAAAGACCGTTGTTAATCTGTTAACAGCTATTTTGTCTATAACATCGTTTATGTTTACATTGACAACAGTATGTGCGCCCTTACTTTCTAGCGATAATTCTCTATCTGAAGGGAGTAGCATGATATAAAAAATTATCACAAACTAAATTATATTACATGTATTATTGTAATTGATTATTAAAATATTGTAATAATTTGGTTATATGGAACTGAATGTGTATTCAAATACTTGTTATTGTACATTGTTTGTAGGATTCATTGATCGTACAGACATATATTTGATGATAGATGTAGAGCATTGCTTATAATGTTGATGTTGTGTATAGCCTGATTTCACAAATTGGTAGGCTCATATTGATCTCTATTAATTTGCATATTATTGACATGCTTTGGTACATTTGATAGTGGTGTAAAATATGTATTTGAGAAGTGATGATCTCCCTTGTTACTATACACAGAATATGATTCTAAGTAATATTATCTTGATATATTCTAATAAAATGTTCCATTTAAGAATGTTTGATAGTTATATTCAAATGTTGATCATATACTTATTATTACGTTTATCTGGCTATGATATTTTAACTTTGTACTTATTAAATGATCTCAATTATTATACATACAAATATGTGATTACTTCATATGTAACTGTGATAATTAATAACCTTATTATACATGTATATTTGTTATTATTATTTCAGGGCTATATTTTTATATTTCCTGAATATGATTATAAATAAAGTATAAAAAAAACCCTAGACAGAGTGTTGTTATAAGAGCCTAAAATCCACCCTGTTTTATATGTATTTACAAAGGTGCCATTAAAAAAATTTCCTTACCCATTCAGTGAGAAAATAAGTTTTTTTCAACTGCATTTTAGGACAATTTTTGCCGGATGATCCCATATTTTTGGGGGGACTGCAAAGGAGTAAGTTCACGAAGGGTTAAAATTGGCCCTAAGATTTTGAAGCATATTTTAATCAGGTCAAAATACTACAAATTTCACATAGAAATAGTTGTGATATTACTATTAATACAAAATAACTTCATTTTGGTACATCACATTAAAAATGACGAAGTATTGACTCTTTAAATATGCATTATTTGTGCTGTAACATCAGTTTTGCTCAAATTTTCAATAATTCTTAACAGTTGTTAGCATAATTTACTTATTGGCTGCCACCCATGATCCAGAAACTTTTTGTGTCTAGGGATGTAATATCACAATTGGCAACTTTTGATTACAGAACATTTAAATCCTAGGCTGCAGCCAATGGTTCCCTCGTGCTTTAAGGACCAAAAAATGCACAAAAATAACTGTATTTTGACAATACACCTTATCGCTATTTGGAAATCTGCGCTGGTTGAATTGAGAATCTGCGCCAATTGAACTTTTGACGTCATACAACAATCACGTTTCCATTATGGCATCAGTTATTTTCTATTGTGACGTCAAAATTTTACGGGAACCTTTGAGATGTCCAGTAATGGCGGACAAATAGCGATAAGGTGTATACACATGATACATGTATATCCAAAATGTGCTGATTTTGAAGCCAATCATGTACTTTTATGAAGAGATTTATTTTAATAAAGAATTAAGGCTTTTGAAATAGATCCATTTAAGAACCAAATTATTGCCATTTTGAAATTTTATGATAAAGTTGAAATTCAGGGCCATATTTGGCCTAAAGTGAACCTTGTCCTTTTACAAGGCTGATATTTCTACAGAACAGGAGCTGTTACCCATTTTTCCCCAAGTTTGTTTAAAATAAAATATGGAACACAACAGTTACCCTACAGAAAACGCATTACAAACACTTACATGTACGCTCTTGTAACAAACAATGACAATAAAATATGGCTTTTCTGATTACAGGTGCTGACTTAACAATGGCCAAATTATGCAGTGCATTTCAGATGTTCAGTTATCACATAATTTTAAAATAAATCCTTAATGGTCATAGATAAAAATCTAACTTCAAAATAAAAACCCTCAAATACCTTTTTTGTATACTGATGATGTGTTTAAAACGGTTTAAAGGTTCTAAGTCGTTCTAGAATTTCTGAAATACATCTAAACTATTAAATCTCTTCATTGAAGAGTTTCGACAGTTTAGAGTTGCCTCCCTTTATGAGGGCAAGCTTATTACAAAACACCGTCGTATTTTATAACTGCATAAAACTCTTTATGAATTGTTTCGTGCCTTCTACGCTTTTCTGGATTTACCTTTTCCTTAACAACCGACACCAAAACCTAAATATTTGAAAGTCATTGATGTATAAATACGTAGAAACGTTATGAGCTTTAACAAGGATTTGTATAGTATTATATGTCTCTGGCTTTATTAACCAAAAGGAACATCAACCTGCTATAGCCGACTACACTAGGACTACATCTACACCGTACGACGATCCATCAGCACATCTCAAAAACATTCACCACTTTTTCAAATCGAATTCTTTCAGTGAACGTCCAAGATTTTTAATTATTTACGAATAAAAGGAGATGGATATGCCCCGGGTATATTTTAACAGAGACATATAAGACAGCAAGCCAACAAAACAAAAAACAAAAAAAAGTCATCTAGAAAAAACAACTGAAACGGTTGAGGTTTATTTAAAATGTGATGATCGTTTATTTTTTAAATTCGTGGGTCACGAACCAACGAATAGATGATATTCACAAAACGACGGACGGAAAAAAAATCGTGATAAACTAGAAATCACTACGGCACTTTTAGAGGTTGTATTTTACCCTGATATTTCTTGGAAGGTCTTCAAATTGGACTGAAGAGCTGACACACTTACATTTTCTTACATGGTTTTGAACTAATTCCCATTTTGAAAGTGACAACCGGCGAAGTACTAACGGAAACATTTATGTTATTATTCAGTCTTCATAATAAATGAAAATAGTATTTTTTTAAATTTATTTTATATAAGAAATGCATGAATTAACAAACATATAACTATATGTTATATGTTTTTTTCTGGAATTAATGACTCCTTTAAACATTAATCAAAGTACTGAAGTACTGGAAATCGGATGACCGCAAGTTCTTGTGGATGGTCACAAGCACTTGTCTCAGAAAAAAAATCACACCTCTATACCTGAAAGTGAGGTTAATGTACAGAGATATATTTTTTTCTGAGACAAGTTCGTGCGTGGATGATGATTAAATGACAGGAAATTCAACCTCACCGTAATAACTATTATATTGTAGTGATACATATATTGTTTATTTCCTGAAATTTACACCCAACGCTTGAAACTTTAGTTGTAAAAATCTAAATCATTGTCTCTATTTTTTTTAAGAAATCGACATAGTTTAAACGCGGACCGCGAAGAGGACCCCAAAATGAACTGGTACGCAAAAAGAAATATCCACATTACCGCTTGCTCAACATGAAAGCGGGGTAACAGGAGACTTTATTTGTACAAGTACAAACAAAGCAAAAATTTATTTGTGTACCTGTTTAATATTTGTACAATAGTTAGCTGATTGCAGGATAAAAATCAGTATACGCTGGTTTGTTGTTATATATTATATTGATATTTATATATAACAGTTACATGTATATGTAATTTTCATCCATTTGTATATCATTCTACTATTCTAATAATAGTGCAGTGCAAGTGCATGGTGGACACTCTTCTGTCAGTTTGTGTGTGTTTACAGGAGATTCGGCTATTTATAGATAAAAGTTACCTGTGTACACTGGTGACCAGGCAAAATCTAATTGCTAAAATAGAGAGTACAAATCCGATACTCTACGGGATTGACAGACATTTACTAGGTTTGGATTGTCCCAACCAATCAACGAACTTTAATTATTAACGTCTCAGTAATAATCTTTCAATCAGGTAGTTTCATCCCGCAGACTGTCCTTCGTTCGATTCTTAATAACGTCTCCGAGGAGACTTTAACAATCATAATATCTGAACACTGTACTTCTGTAATACAAACTGATAATTACAAATGCAACATATCATTTTTGAAGTTCACAATAAATAAATATTAGACACAATAGTTATTGTCCCCTAATAATTAAATTGAATAAAATCAGCTTTCTTCAAAAGAAAAAATTTCTGAGACAGGGAAATTTTTCTTAAATATGTCTTTCTGAAAAAATGCTTATGTATGAAATGCATTTCATGAATATAATAAAATTTTTATCAAAAGCCCTTTCCATCAAAGTCGTTTCCAAGAACTTAGTCAATTTATTTAGTCTTTCTTTTATAAAACTGATTTTTTCATATGCTACATAAACTGTTGTAGGAGTCATTTCCAAGAACTTGCAGTCAATTTATTTAGTCTTTCTTTTATGAAACTGACTATTTTGGAGGCTGCATATAAACTGTTACAGTGTACAAAAGATATTTTTCATTGTGGTGTATTTATCAAAGTTCAAAGCCTGTAATTTTGGGAAAATTAGCAAAGCAGAACTAAACATAAACTTGATCTGTAACTCATCATGGTTAACTCACATACCAGAAATCAGCCCAATATCTGAAGGCGTTTAGAAAAAAACCTGTATAACTGTGATTTTCAACAATTTATCGAAGTCCAAAGCCCGTAATTTTGGCAAAAATAGTAGAGCAGGACAAAACTCAAACTTGATCTGTAACTCATTATGGTTAACTCACATATCAAAAATCAGCCCAATATCTGAAGGCCTTTAGAAAAACCAGTCTGTATAACTGTGATTTTCAACAATTTATCGAAGTCCAAAGCCTGTAATTTTGGCAAAAATTAGCGGAGCAGAACGAAACTAAAACTTCATCTAAAACTCATCATGGTGAACTCACATACCAAAAATCAGCCTAATATCTGAAGGCATTTAGAAAAAAAGCCCGTATAATGGTTTGTTGCGGAATGACGGAATGACAGAATGATGGAAAGATGGATTGACGGAATGATGGAATGACAGACAAGGGTAAAACTATATGGCTTTGTTGCGAGGCCATATTTGTTGCGGGGCCATAAAAAGCTTCACCATGTGTAATTACTAGTTCAGGAAGATAAAAAATGTTCTCAACTTGGAAGAAAAATACAGCACTTGGTATCATTCCAACATGAACTGTACAGAAGCTGCTGCTTAATTTGATGAAAAGCCACAACTCTATCTAGCTACTGAGAAGTGCTACAATGATTATATATAAGCAGCACATAAACAGTAACAAGAAAGGCTGTTAACCTGTGAACTTTTAGACGACAGCAATTTCTCAATATTTAAACTTATCAGATTGATGTAGAAAACAGAAACTACAGGAGACAAAACAGAAACTATACTTCCAGACCAGTACACCCTGCCCTTACTATGAAATCACATTCTCTCACAGATTTACTCCCTCTCTATATTCCACTCACAATCATATACCCTCACCCTCTCCATCATTCTATTTTTCTCCCTCCCTTTCTCACCCTTTCACCCTATCATAACACCCTTAACCACCTACCACCTAATACCCCTTCTGCTTCGTGTTAAGTCCCTATGAGAAAATTGGGTTAGTAGATGAATACGATATTATAAGATGTACCAGATATGGAAGATCTTAAATTTTAGAAATGTGAAGGAAATTTAGAACTGATTGATATCAAACATAAATATATGAACCTGAGCCACTTTTAGAAATGTAGTCTTATTTTCTACACACAATGGTCATCATAGCATTCGTACAAAAGATTAACAGCCAACGTTACAGAAAGCCAAATTGTGTAATGTAAATTTGAAAATAGAATGCTGTTTTGATTGATAAACATTATGGAGGCCAAAAAGTATATATCCCACTCTTAATTTTGAAGTGTTTTTGGTGTGTTGATTACAAAATATGTTGAAAAAAATGAAAAAAACATAAATGAAAATTGCCAAATGGTATAAATCCAAAACACATAAAACAAAAAGCCAAATGAAAAATGCCAAAGTTTAAAAATGCCAAATGGTATTAAAAATACCTGTCTGCTTGTACTAGCCAGCCGGCCTGCGGGTTAGCTGGACTTTAAGGTGCTAGTTCACCAAGACAAATGCCCACAGTAGGTAACCTATCTTTTCCTTTTGGAGTACCAGTTTTTAAGTCTTTGATTTGACTTGGGGGCTCAACATTTAACTAAAAAAAAGATAAAAAAAAAGGTCTCCTGTATAAATTAAAATTTGGTCTTAAAAAGTAAAATATTCCCTTTGTCCCCCACACCCAAATGGATAAAATAATGTAAAAAGTCCCTCATTTCCAAAATAATCATAAAATGACCTGCCTCAACTTATAAATTAGGATAAAATCAGTAAAATATCTCCAATTTTATTTGGATAAAAACAGTAAAATATCCCCAATTAAAATTTGGATAAAAACAGTAAAATATCCCCAATTAAAATTTGGATAAAAACAAATAAAATACTTTTTTCCCCTTAAAAGAATGTTACAGAGCTTCACATGCAGACTGAGCCACCTCACTCTCAGTTTGTTCCAGTAAAAACAATAAAATATCCCCAATTAAAATTTGGATAAAAACAGTAAAATATCCCCAATTAAAATTTGGATAAAAACAAATAAAATACTTTTTTCCCCTTAAAAGCATGTTACAGAGCTTCACATGCAGACTGAGCCACCTCACTTTCAGTTTGTTCCAGTAAAAACAATAAAATATCCCCAATTAAAATTTGGATAAAAACAGTAAAATATCCCCAATTAAATTTGGATAAAAACAAATAAAATACTTTTTTCCCCTTAAAAGCATGTTACAGAGCTTCACATGCAGACTGAGCCACCTCACTCTCAGTTTGTTCCATTAAAAACAATAAAATATCCCCAATTAAAATTTGGATAAAAACAAATAAAATACTTTTTACAATTAAAAGCATGTTACAGAGCTTCACATGCAGACTGAGCAACCTCACTCAGTTTGTTCCAGTAAAAACAATAAAATATCCCCAATTAAAATTTGGATAAAAACAGTAAAATATCCCCAATT